TCCTGTGGCTTTCATGACATTTGCTGCTTGAGTTTTGTTTTTGGCTTTACTGTGAGCAACAGAATTTATCATGATGTCATCATTGGAGAGTATTTCGGGATGGTCTTTCATCCGCACATCAGGAAACTCCTTATTCAATTCCAAATGCAATGGATGGTCCTTAGGAAGGAAACGCTGGTTTTCCAAAAACACCACTTTGTCAAGAAGATCCACATGAAATCCTATATAAAAGGACAAAATAAAACAAAGCAATATATCAAATTAGGATCTTCAAGTGTATTATATTAGAGCCATGTACAAAAACCTGTTTTCTTTGGCTTTTCTTTGTAATTTATTGCAAACTATATATAACACTTTGTTTCATGTTTTTTTGCAAACTACTCTATAAAATGATAATTGTTTCAATTGCCAATATAAATTATATTTAACCTAGTTTAATCACACCTCAAACTGGGTTAAATGAATGCATTTTAAACTGAGTTCATTAAAACGCTATCTGTTGTTAGTATATACCATTTGAATGTAACCGCAATATTAATTTTATTATTATTTGTAATAACACAAATTTCACATTTAAAAATATATTTAGCATACCTCTCAAATCACACCATAAGCAAGCCTGGAGTGCTGTTGGACCTGCTGCAGCAAATATCTTGGTACAGCCTGGATAATCTAATTCGTAGTTCAAAATTGTAGCCTTAAAGAGGAATGTTTCCTTTTGGAAAGCATCATACAGTTTCATGTCGGTCAAACTTAGAAGTTCGTCTACAACTATTTCCAAATATGGGTCCAAGGACTTTGGCTCACCACCATCAGGCTGCGCAGGTACAATGCCAACAAGCATTAGATTCCCAAAGACCGACCTTAGACGACGAGGAAGGATAAGATTACTTAAAGTAATGGGCCACATTGAATATGCAACTTTGTTGGAGCTAAATGGATTAACTCCATCAGTAGATAGCTGCAGAAGGATTCCTCTAGTTTCACTGAAGGCATTTTTCCAGGAAGGGCTGTCATGAACATCTTTCATAATACTTGGATCATCTATGGTTCTATTCCCATGACTTTGAAGAATTTTAGCAATAGTAGCATTTCCATACATCCGTTTCCAACGTGGTACAAGTGGGTAGTATACAAATTTCCTGACAGGTTTGTTGTCAGAAAGATAGCGATCGGCACCACATATTGGGCAGCTTTTCAATTTAGAATAATCATACCTCTGGGTTTTCCGATAGATGATACAGTCATTTACACAAGCATGGTAGATAACTAGTGGAATAAGGAACGGTTTTATGAAGGCCATTGCTTTATCATATGAGGCTGGGAGATTATTAGGACAAGGCAAAATCTTCTTATTAACTGTTAACATTTTAGAAAGTGCATTTTTACTTAGTGCTGGAAATTCAGTAAACCATGCAAAGTAACTCGCAAGTGTCTGTAAAACCGTAACAGAGATTCCATCAAACAAAGGCACTTTCACACTTTCATCAGAATATAAATCTTCATCAGAATGTTCGCTTTCACTTGAGCTTGACGAGCTATCTTCGACATGTAGATTAAGTTCTTGATCATGATTTGATGAGTCAACAGAATTAACTGATACACGATCTTCTTCGATACTAGAAATGGAATTGTTGTCTTCGTTATTTAAGCTCACACTCTCCGTAAATGTTATACTTGGCATCTCTACATCTTCCATTACACTAGTAACTGGACTGCAGCCCTCTTGATCAAAGCTTTTGCTTGCCATCCCATCGCCAATGTCAATTGCGGTATTTTTGTCTCTTGGTATAAAACTTGACTCGTCGTTGCGTTCGTCATCATCGGTTGAACTGGCTGAGTCATTTTCGAATTCGTGCCTTCCAAATACTTTCAGATGACGATTAATCACTTTTAAAGAATTATTTTTTTTAAGCTTACATACTGAACAAGGACAAGGGCGAATGGCTGATTTCTTTTTGGATGAGTTCTTCTTACGAAGATTTTGAACAGCATACGGCATGGCATATTCAACAGTTCAACCAAAGTGTAAACAGAGACGAGGAAGACTGCTGACTAATCACGTATTATCACGTATATGTTCACGTGCACATTTCCAAATATGGACTCATTACAAAGTCCACAGTAATTTGATCTTCCAAAGCAAATAAACGTCACCAAAGTATGAAAAAAGGCGCGCATTTCGAGGTTACTCAGTTCGCGTTAACATCGTTTTTATAGTATATTTTAAGTATAGTAGTCTATTTTCTTTCTTACAATGGAACAGCAACTACTTACAATGCTAAAAAATAATCCCGATCTTACCAAAACGCTTCTTGAAAGCTTAAAGAAAGCAAGTACCCCAGAGACGTCCGCTGGTGATTCCGAGCAAGAACATGAAAATATTACAAGCCAAGATCGCCAAGAAGCCTCTTCGTCAGCGGCTGATCGGCAACAAGCCTGTACGTCGGGCGTTGAAGTCGTGGAAGACCTTACAAACCAGCCAGATCATGCCAATGTTGCTCCTGCTTCTAACGAGGCTGATGAAGTCAATTCTTACTCTTGTGAAGAGCTGCTGTCTAAAAGGGCAAGGAACCAAAGGGCAACTGATGCCCAGCAAACATTCAGGGTAAGAAGTTACGTTCTTAAAACGATTTTATATAATTTAGGACATACTATGGTAAGTAACTTATTAGCTACATAATAGCTTGCATATATTAAATCATACAACAATTAAATCACGTGACTTTTTGAATGAAAAGCGCGCGAAAACGCACAAAGAAGTCATACTTTCACGTACTGCTCAATTTCATTTTTTGGAAATATCAGCTTTATCAATCATCAGATTTTATAGCATTGACAAAAAGAAATATTTCATTAATTTCGCCATAATGTAGAGAGTTCAAAGAGTTAAAAAGTGCATTTCCTAATATTTTTCACGCTTGACTAGAGGGTGCGAAGGAGACTAAACTATATACGTAAGCTACCTTATTGGCACTTAATTTCGCGAAATCGTAATAGGTATATTTCGCGGGTATTAATTTTCGCGTTTTTGACAGAAAATAGGTAGATATATCGATCGCGGGCTCTAAATTTCGCGAATTTTTATATATCGCGAAAATCGCGAAATAAAATGCCCACGAAAATTAGTACCGATAAGGTCTCTAGCAATGCTGGTATGTGATTTTTTTATTGCAAGTATTTAAATTTAGTGCAACATTTTACATTTGTGATACTTTGTTTCTGTATTTAGTACTCTCTTCGAACAGCAGCAATTCACCATGGGATATGGGATAATCCCCCATTTTTGAGGGATATCAGACCCAAAACTATGGAAAAAATAATGAATAAGGTAACATAAACTTAACTTATTTCATCTTTTATATCTAATGTTTTATGTAGAGGAATTCAATACAATTAATTATTATATACAGCTAGCATGTTAAGTACATGCATTATAATGTATACTTAAAATTCTTTGTAATCTTTTGTTTAAACAAGGTCCTTAAAATGCTTCCACAACTGCAAGGAAGAGAGAAAGACATTAAATCAAAGTTGGCAGAAAGTCTAACCAATAGAAGAAACCACCTAAAAAACACAATCTATTGGAAGCGTGCACTCCAGGTAATCATGAAGTGATGAAGCAAGTATATTAAAATATTTATGTAATTGTAATTCTAGTGGACACTAGAAGCTTAATCATTTAATTCTTTGCTATTAATATATGTTCTGTTTGATTACTTTGTCAGCTGACTAAGTACAAAGATCGAGCCTGCCCTAGGCCAGTGCCAGTAAATTCATCCAACAGTTGTTGTGGTTGAAAAGAAGATTTCAGAGACAGCTGCAGCCAGTGAAAATGACATTATGCAAATAGAAGATGAGGAGTCAACAGGATTCCATTTTCAACCGTCGTAAGTTTTAATTTGAAAAATGTTATATCACTTGCTTTGATAAAAAAAAAAATACAGGAGAGCAAGCTGAATGTTCTCTTTCTCTCTTTTTTGGTGATGAATGCATGAGATCACAAAATTAAAAAGGACATGAAAATGTTATTTTATTTTTATTCCTTATGTGATAATATATTTCTTTTTGCAGTGAAAACCTCTTAGTAATGAACGGAGCAGACAAGATCGCAAGGGGGACATACCTCCGTCATTCAAAAAATAATAGTAAGTCAAGATGGATGTATTGTAAAATATATATTTTTAGTACATACTTATATACAAAATTGCTTATGATCCCATCATCAGGTGACATCGTCAAACTTGTTTTACAAACAAAATATGACAAGGCAAGTGGTATTGCTCTGAGCAAACCAAACAAGTCAAATTCATTTGACCAACTAAAAGTAAGTAACAAAAGAGCCTATCACTCTCATTGCAAAGCAGCTGACACTCAATCATTAGTTAGGCTCACAATTTGTTTTTAATTGTAGCCTGGAAGTACATTTTACTGGCCAGAGAACCAGTTAATTAAAAAAGCAGAAAAAAAGAAAAAGGTCAATGCTGCAGCTAATAATAATGCTGATGCAGCTGCTGATAACGATGCTGAAGCCGCTGCTAATAATGTTCCTGAAGCTGCTAATAATGATGCTGAAGCCACTGCAAATAATGATGCTGAAGCCACTGCAACTAATGATGATGATCATGAAGCCACTGCTATTAATAATGCTGAAGCCGCTGCTAATAATGTTTCTGAAGCTGCTAATAATGATGCTGAAGCTACTGCAAATAATGATGCTGAAGCCACTGCAATTAATGATGATGATCATGGAACCACTGATAATAATCACCCGGTTAACATGGATTAAATGGGCTCAACCCACTAGAGTAAATTTACTCTAGTGGGTTCAAYCCACACCAGAATATATTCCCAGCAATCTCTTCCGTGCAAAATGACKTATTGTTATTTTCGACCAATCACAGACCATAAATCACTAAAGCGGCAAAAGTACTGTCACAGAGCAATAATACAGAGACCTTTGAAAACTGATAGATCTTGTTTTGCTTTATCACACAATCATGAAGAGAACACGGTTAAAACCTTTTACTTTCAAAGCTWCATTGATCGACAAAACAGGGAAAAAAACGACAAAAAACTTCCAGCTTTCTAAAGCGAACAAGCTTACTAGTAAGGTTCCCAGACTAGAACGAGACGATCGAGAGTCAATAAGCTCTCTTGGCACCGCTGCTGTCACGTTTCCCGATATTCCATCGAATGAAGGACTGACTGGCCATGAAAAGAGACAGTTGTTTCTTAACCAGAAGTGGACAGACTACAGACAAACACTTCTTGATGCATACACGGGAGAATGCTTTATGCCAAGCGGTCAATTGTGTGTCATTTGCAAGCATGAATTGGCTTGTTTGAGGTGCGAAAGCTGTGGACCAAGACAATATTTTTGTTTGAGCTGTGGTCATTCTCTTCATGAACACAGAAACCAGTTTCACTCATTGGAACTATGGAAGGTACGTTGTAACTTAATGAATTCTCCTGTGATCATTTAACTAAAGTAAAATGTCACTGTTTTTGTCTCGCAGGGAAAAACATTCGTGCCTTATGCTGTGCAGGGTGCTCCATTAAAAACGCACGAGTGTAATAYATCCCAAGTCAAAAGTGTTATTTGTGTGGATGAGCATGGTTAGATTTGTRTATTATTTTAGCCTATTTTATAATAATTTTCTCAAAAGCACGACAAATCATATCGATTGTTGTTTTTCACTGCAGGAAATCACCATCCAAAAATGATTGCATTCTGTGAATGTGAACCCTCTGTCAGAACTTTAGTGCGTCATAGCCTTTGGCCAGCAACTCCTGAAAGGCCATCAACCGCCTTCCACTTTAGACTAATGCATCTTGTGGAGACTGTATTCCTTCACTGTAAAGTTTCTTTAAAGGAATTTTCAGAGTGCATTGATGTGTTGAGAAAACCTCTAAACCAACGACTGGTAATTATAAGCAGAAATTAGTTAAGTCTTATAAGCAGAGACACTAGACTCTGATGGTACCACGTATAAATCTTCTGATGTTGATAGTGTCTGAAAACTAAAGCAACTCTTGATTATTGTATTTTATTTTTCATATCCTAGGTGTCATCTATATACCAACTCCTTAATACTAGCTGCTTTGAAGAATACAGGTTTGGATCAGTACAGTCTTATTGCACACCTTTAAGAATCAAAACTTAAAATAGGGATTGAACAAAACATGTCATGAACCAGCTCTTATATCTTTTAAATAGTATTTTGTATTTTTGTAATGTGAAGTTTTTACACAATAATGTGCACATAATACATAATATTATTATAGTGAGCTAGTAGCACAAGTGCAGATCTCCTTGATGTTTCATAGTATAATTAAGCCCTGTCATCTAATTATAGGCAATTTTGACTTTATATCTACCAAATGTGCAAAACGAGTATGTATAATATTGTTTATATTATCCAACTGCGCACATACATTGTAATAGTTTGTATATGTTTCATTTTAAAATSAAAACAACATTGTTGAGCACTTAATTTGTTTATAAAATTTGATTGATAATCAACGAAGCACTTTTTTTCTTTAAAGATTTAACATATGGTTACTAGAACATATTTCATTTATTTATTTACAGGTTTTTCAAACGTCGTGTTTCAACTTTGGGAGYATACTTTCCAGAACTTGACAATGGAGTAACATGCCCACTTTGTCCTAAGGTGAATGCCACATGCTTAAGACAGTATATTTCTTCCCTCTTTTGTCATTTACTAAATTTGTGTTTTAACTGTTCAACTGCAGGAAAAKGGAGTRCTCATTGAATGCATGGATGCTTGCTTTGGGTTGAGTAGGAAAAAGAGGCAAGGTATAACATCCTTCAACCTCCCGAAACATGGCACATTAATGTTTGCTGACCAAGATGATGTTGACAACCATGTAAATAATTATTGTGAGAAAGCTCATGATGTTCCAAAGGTACGGTATGCACTATAACTTCATATCGTAATGTTTATAGCTCCAGCTCTAACTCAAACAACATACAGTATAATTTTAATTCTTAGAGTTTATTATTAATCCTGAACAGGGCAAAGGTATAATATATATTTGAACTTCAATTTAATATAGTCTGTTGTCTTATGTACTAGGATTGTAGTCGATTCCATGCGGGAGAGGTGACTGTATCTCTTAGATCAAAGGGCAAGAACAAATTATTTGATGACAAAGGGGTGTTCGGGCGTGTGTGTAGACATGATTTTCCAAAAGGTTTCCATAACATAAAGCATGGTGAAAGGTAATGATACTTATACATGTATAAGTAAATATTTGAACAGATAATGTTTCTGGTATTGTATATTTCACATGTTGTAATTGAGAGCAGGGGGATAATTAGGTACTATTTTTTTCATGAGTAGGAAACACATAGAAGACATTTGTAAAAAAATATAATTTATTCAAATAGCAACCTGGAAAGGTAGACATCATGTGATATTTTGAGCTGCTCTATCACATAATGTAAGCTTACCTGTMATTATTTTTTAGTAGCGAGTGCTGCTGGACAACATACAGTACTGATTTTTGTTAAATGTGTTTATTAGTACTTTTTGAWCCAATCATAATATTATTCTCATTGTTTTKCATTTAGGATTGCATATCCTATCTATGAACTGAAGAGATTTGTAGAAGAGAATAAAGAAAAAAAAGGGCTTAAGATGGTCATGATGTATGACATT